TTGGAGTCCGCCGTCACTGGAGCAAGCAAGCCTCCCTGTTCGCTTCAGTGCATGGCTGCCCGCCGCCATCTTGGCTGACAGTTAATTTGCATAAGGATATGCTGATTAGCCAATGGGAAGGGTAGCGGTCGTACACTAATTACCATGTTTCTCTTTTATTAGTGTAGATTCCTACAGTATGCACATTGTAGGCACTCAGTAATTTATAGGTTGAATTTTAATAAGAGTCTGACATTCTTCCACCATAAGATTTAAATGATTGCTAAAGATTAAAGTGTTGCCCGGATGATGCAGCTCAGTGGTTGAGTGTTGACCCATGAACTAGGAGGTCATGGTTAGATTCCGGGTCAGGGCATATCCCTGGGTTTTGGGCTCAATCCCCTGGTAAGGGGCATGCAGGAGGCAACCCATCAATGATTCTCTCTCATCATTGATGTTTCTATCCCTCTCTCCCTCTCCCTTCCTCTCTCTGAATTCCATAAAAACATATTTTAAAAAATAAAGTGTTACCACTTCCAGGGATATTTGCATTTGAATTCATCAATTTTTCTAACAAAGATTAATTAAGATGTGGCACACAAAAGGTGTTGCTCTAGGTACTATGGGGGATATATAGAAGTTATTCCTACCTATTAAATGGTTGTAATCTAAACTAATTGTGGAGTAGATTTGAAAGGCAGAAGAAGCAAGAGGAGAACTACACTGAGTGGCCAGATTATTATGACCACCCCATCAGTACTTCGTTGGGCCACCTTTTGCCTTCAACACTGCAGCGATTCTTCTTGGCATTGACTCCACGAGATGTTGAAAGGTGATGCGAGGACTCTGACACCATGCCTGATGAATAGCACTGTCCAGTTCTGTGAGATTTGATGGTTGTGGAACCAGCTGCCTGATGGCTCTTTTAACTTCGTCCCACAAATGCTCAATTAGATAGAGATCTGGTGATTGTGGGGGCCACCTAAGCAAGGTAAAGTCTCCCTCATATTCTTGAAACCACTCCTGCACAATACGAGCACCGTGGCATAGCGCATTATCTTGTTGGAAGAAGCCATCTCCACTGGGATATGCCATCAACATGATAGGATGAACTTGATCAGCAACAATACTTAGGTATGTTGTGCTATTCAGACGTTGTTCCACATGAATTAAAGGGCCAAAATCATGCCAGGAAAACATGCCCCAAACCATAACACTGCCCCCACCAGCTTGAAGCGTTGTACTCATGCATGTGGGGTGCATGCTTTCATGCTGTTTCCGCCAAATTCTCACTCTGCCATTGGCATGAGGCAACTGGAAATGTGATTCATCGCAGCACATGACTTTTTTACAATGCTCGACTGTCCAATCCTTGTGTTCCTGTGCGAATTGGAGACATGTCGTGGTAAACAACCTGCTTCCCTATTTATAATGGTCTGGCCCTCTAGCAACTTCAGCTTGAAATTATAGCTAATTTGCCTACAAACATCAGGTAGTCATAATAATCTGGCCACTCAGTGCATATCCATCAAGGAATCACATGTTAGACACTTGCTAGGCAATTGACTTACATGTATGAAATTCTTACAAAAAGCCTTTGAGGCAGAATTTTTTTCCATCTATATATATAAAAGCCTTAGCAACTGGCCAATCAGCCGACCAGCCAATTGGCCAGTAGCTATGACACCCAATGACCACCAGGGGGCAGACGCTCAATGAAGGAGCAAGAAACCACAGGCATGGAAACATGGAACAGACTGATGAATCTCAGAGGAAAGGGAGGAGGGGGGAATATATTAACCAAACATCTTATATGCATACTAGAGGCCTGGTGCACGGATTCGTGCACTGGTAGGGTCACTTGGCCTGGCCTGCCGGGATCGGGCCGAAACCGACTCTCCCACATCCCTGAGGGGTCCCAGATTGCGAGAGGGCACAGGCCAGGTCGAGGGACTCCACCAGTGCAGGAATCCGTGCACCAGGCCTCTAGTCCTATATAATAAAAGGGTAATATGCAAATAGACCAAACGGCAGAACAACCAATCAAAGTGTAATATGCTAATGATATGCTAAGGCCATTCAACTGCTCGCTATGACATGCACTGACCACCAGGGGGCAGAAAGTCGACTGGTCAACCAGTTGCTATGATGTGCACTGACCACCAGGGGGCAGATGCTCCGACCAATAGGTTAGCTTGCTGCTGGGGTCCAGCCAAGATGGGTCAAACATGCCCTGGAGCCCTCCCGTGGTTCATCCCTGGCCCGATCATGCACCAGTGGGGTCCCTCAGCCTGGCCTGTGCCCTCTCGCAATCCAGAACCCCTTGAGGAATGTTAGGGAGCTGGTTTCAGCCTGATCCCACAGGCCACTCGCCTTGGGAGGGTGCCAGACACAGGGCTCAAGCCTGTCAAGTGCTGCTGCAGCAGCATGAGCCTCTCCCAATCAGGACTGATTGGGTATGAGCCCATGGCAGGCACAGTGGGGCCAGGATGAGCGGGAGCAGCAGGTAGGAGCTGCAGGCGGTGTTGGACTGTGGGTTTCGGCCCAATCCCTGCAGGCCACCTAGAGGGACCCCACCCATGCATGAATTTGTGCACCAGGCCTCTAGTGTTTTATAAATGTGGAAATGGCCCAGCTGGAATGGCTCAGTGGTTGAGCGTTGACCAATGAATATGGAGGTCATGGTTCAATTCCCCGTCGGGGCACATGACTGGGTTTCAGGCTCAATCCCCAGTGTGGGGTGTGCAAGAGGCAGCCAATCAATGATTGTCTCTCATCATTGATGTTTCTATCTCTCTCTCCCTTTCCCTTCCTCTCTGAAATCAATAAAAATATATTTTTAAAAACGTAGAAATCAAGGCTCAGATAAGTTATGCAACTTATCTGCCACAGAGTTAGTGGCAGACCTGGGATTTAAAACCTGGACCTTCTAAGTCTGACTCCAGACTGCTGACTCTGGAACACAGCCTATCAAATAGGTTGTGTGTGTGTGTGTGTGTGTGTGTGTGTGTGTGTAATTACAGTGCTAAGCAATATCAAGTAGGTGCCATACTGATTATGTAAATTATTATATGGAGAGGCAGTAGAGCAATGGTTAAGAACTCAGGCTCTGGAAATAGCTGCCTAGGTTGGAATTCTGGCTCTCCATTTACTAGCATATACTCTTGGGCAAGTTACTTACTTAACTTCCTTATCCTTCAATATTTCATACATAAAATGGGAGCTCATACCTAGCTCATATTATTGCTGTAAAGATAACTTAGTTAATACAAGTAAAGGGTAGTGTCTAGCACTTTCAATAAATAAACAAGAAACAGCCAATAAATACTGGTTATTATAGGAAATCAGAGGAGAAAGAAATAAAATCCAGCTGAGAATGGATCAGGGAAGTCTTTATGAATGAGGAGACATTGAAGAAAAGATTGAATGTTAGTGAAGAGTGAGGGAGTAGTGAAAGGGAATGTAGTGAAGGTTGGAAAGCTCAGGTTGTATGGGGCCATGAGTAGAGAGGAGATGAGGGGTGGCACCTGGCAGTGGGAGCTATTGGAAGATAAGCCAAGGATCTTGAATTAAAAGCTTAAAACTCTGGAGTTAAACCACTGGGCAATGGGAGCCATGAAAGGTTTTAGAGGAAGATAAAGAGAAAGTCTTCTTTGGCAGTAATCAAATCTGACAACTTTGCAGTTTTATCCTTGAGTGTTACCAACTGCAGAAAACAGCAACTCTGAGGACTGATGATTTGACTGAGAGAAAGGAAAGGGGAGAAAATGAGAGAGGTTGAAAAAATGAATGACAGAGGACTATAGAGAAGAAAAGTGCGCCTGGTGGGAAGTGGTAGAAATGAGGTCATTCCTAATCCTCAGTCTAGAGCAGCCGTGGGCAAACTACGGCCCTCGGGCCGGATCCGGCCCGTTTGAAATGAATAAAACTAAAAAAAAAAAAAGACCGTTCCCTTTTATGTAATGATGTTTACTTTGAATTTATATTAGTTCACACAAACACTCCATCCATGCTTTTGTTCCGGCCCTCCGGTCCAGTTTAAGAACCCATTGTGGTCCTCGAGTCAAAAAGTTTGCCCACCCCTGGTCTAGAGGCAGCTCAGGAACTGAGTTTGAAGCCTAACCTACTTTTCCCCCATTTAAGACTTCAAGTTTCCATCTCAGTTTAGGGCTTCTTTTAACTTTGAGACTGTGCTTTTGGCCAGTGAGGAGCTGACGTAGGGCATTAGGACCCAGCAATTGTTGTAGTGAGAGAGGTAGAATCTGGATCTCAGTTTTTCTCTCCAGCTCCCTCCTCTCCCTTTGTCATTCTAGCTGCCTGCTGCCTCTGCAGCGTCCCTCTTGTTTTCTCTGTGTTAACTGCCAGCGCTTTAGACACACAGGGTGCGCAAAGCAGAGGATTAGTTGGGACCTGCCTTGGTGACTCCATGGCATCCCCCAGAACCGTAACTGTCGTGGCCCTCTCAGTGGCCCTGGGACTCTTCTTTGTTTTTATGGGGACTATCAAGTTGACCCCCAGGCTCAGCAAGGATGCCTACAATGAGATGGTAAGTGAAGCAAATGGGTGATGAAGAGCGCACCCGCAAGGGATAGCGAATTCCTCTCTCGGTCTTTTCTTCCTAGTCCTCAGTCCCATCCCCTTAACCCCCACCCCACCCGGACCCTCCCGTCTTCCCAACAACTTTGCAGCTCGGAAGAAGCAGCTGGTCAGCAGCGATTTTATTTGTGGGCTAAGCCGAGAGCAACTGCTCTTCAGTCACTGAATGCCTGTTGGGGGAGGGGTTACCCAGCGAGTACCCCTCAACCCCCAAGCAATCCAGAAGGCTGAGACCTGCCTAACACCTGTCACCAGCAGGAACCCTTCCCTTCTTCCAGCACACCCAAAGTCGGGCAACCAGTCTGCAAGTCTGATTCCTCCCCTTGGAGCTAAGAGTTTAGCAAGCAGGAGAGTTTATCTTCGGGAAGAACAAAGGGGAAGAAGGGAAAGAGCTGGGAGAGAATGGGCTACTAAAACAAAATTTTAGGGGCGGGAAAGGTATTCTTCTTTGCTAGCAGAGAGCTGATAGTATTCCCCTAGCAGCCTGGGCGTGTGTCTGTATCCTTGAGACAAAGCAGTCTTGGCCCAAATAAAGGTCACCAAGAGCTTGCTTCTTCACCTTCTCTCAGGGGAGAGCTGGATGTTTTGTTTTATTTTGTTATGTTTGTGGGCTAATCTGTACAATCTGCGAAGTCTGCCTTTTCTCTCCCGCAGTAGTCCTTAATCCCCACCTTGCCTCCCTTGGATGCCCAGAGCCAGGCCCTCTGAAGGTTTTCCCCTCTGCAGAGTTGGAATCACAGAAGGTGACTGGCCAAAACATCTCTGCAACCTGGGGGCTGGGCTCGCCAGTTCGCGTGAAGGGGACTTGTTCTTCTGCCTTAGAGAAGGAGGAGATGGCAGGGGATGTTTCCAGCACTTTCAGTTTCTGGCCTCGCCCCCTGTCACTTTGACTCTATTTCCCAGCCTCAGCTGAAGAGAATCTGGTTCTCACTTTCTCTTTTTGCCAGACTGCCAGTAATAAGAGGGAGCCCATTACTGGGTTCTCAAGGTCAAGAAGGAAACTTACTTAGAGAAGGAATAAGGAGAGAGAGAGAGAGAGAGAGAGAGAGAGAGAGAGAGAGAGAGAGAAGAGAGGCAAGAGGAACTCCTCTTTAGGGCTGTGGCAAGGAGGAATAGCCCCACAGCTTGATAGGAATACATAGCAATCCTGGAGCCCACTGTGGAATCTTCCAGGGCCCCTCAGTGCGAGCTGCATGTGGATGGAGACTGGCAAATAAATTGTAGATGCTCAGAAAATGTTTGCAGGTAGCTCTGGCTTCTGTCTCAGGGTTAGAGCTGGTGCTTTCCATGTCTCCCTCACCACAGGATCACCCTGGGATGGGGGAGGGTAGCTGGTACTCAAGGGCCCAGGTCTAGCCCCAGTGGCAAATTCTAATAAGTTTTTCCTTCTTCCTTCCCCTCCTCCCAACATGTTTGACCAGATTAAATTAAAATCAGGTCAAACAGAGTATCCAAGGCAGCCTGCAGAGGAGAGATGAGGTAGCAAAAGCCACTAAAAGCAGAGGGACTGGGTGGAGGGGGAATGCCACTACATTTTTGTCTTGGCAGTAGTAGTGTAGTGTTAGATCACAAATAAATGAATATGCTCTTGTTTTTCTTTACTTTGCATATATTTATATGTTTTTGTGCACCTTAGGTATTTTAAGCTTTCCCTTTCCTTGGGGACACAGTACCCTTCTTCAGTATACTCCCTGTCCCCCAGACCCTGCTCAGCTGCTTTCCAGCCCCCCACCCCCTAAGTTGCACTCTACGTACAGTGTTAGGTTCTTCAGGCAATCCAACTAAAATGGAGTCACCAGGAAGCTTTCTACCAGCTTGGCAGGAGCTCATGAGGAGGAGCAGCCACAAATGGGTTTACAGTAGGTTTCTTCCTAGGGAGTGGAGCCATCTATTGCAATCTAATGAAAGGCAGAAGAAACAAATGTGAAGATTTCAAAGGAACATATTCAAATAGATATAATCTAATACAGCAGTACAGAACCATTGTGTGTGTGTGTGTGTGTGTGTGTGTGTGTGTGTGTGTGTGTGTGTGTGTTTACACATAATTCTGTGCTTCTGTGCTCAGGGGCATTTGGAGCGAATGGAAGAACTATATCTAAATTAGCTGGAAGATAGACTTCACAATAGTATTAAGCTCGGGGGGGATTTTTAGATCGTCCTTTTTCAGAGTCCCCTCCTGCATTGAGCACTGGGCCCCAAGCTGGAGATGGCTGTCTGAGGTAGGGCCCACTGAATAGTGCCTGGACTGACCTAGCTTTATTCTTGAACCCACAGGAAATGGGGGGAATTCAGTTCTAGTACAAAGAAGGTGCTTAATTTATATTTGTTGAATGGATGGATGAATGAATGAATCACTGTAGCACTGTCTTGGCTGGTTACCATCCTTCAGATTTCTCTCTGATTCTCAATTATACAGTTTAAGAGCTATTTCCTGATTCTTAGAAGGGAGCCACAGCCCCTCAGGACCCCAACCTTAGATCAGCTGAGATGATTATCTGGGATTTTTTGTTTTCAATTTAGAAATGATTCCTCTGCATCAATGGAATTAGTCTTATATTGATAGTGGTGGCCTTTATTGATAAGATCTCAAAATATTGTTGCTTTAATATTATTTGTTCTTTAAAACAACTCTGAAGTGTTTTAATATTTATTATTTTCATTATTATTATTTATTCTTATTTTACTGATGGATAGCTGATCCAAGATCATAGGGTAAGCTATTGTTGGAGCAGATTCCGTGATTCAGTACTCTCAATAGAGGAGTCATTAGATGGATTCTCTCTCCTTTTTCTGTATAAATTCAACTGCCACAATTCATACCTTGGGGTTTCATTTCACTTTGAAACCAATTTTTCAAATTCAGATTTTTTTTCTTTTCTGCCAACTTCTTTTTATTGTTCTAAAGTCATTAGTGCAATGGTTAGGTGTTATCACCTCTCTGAAGAATCACTGCTAAAAACCAAACAGACAAATGACTATGAACTTCTTTCCTGTCTCTACTAGGGAAGCCAGGAGAAATTAGTGGAAAGAGTATAGGTTTTGAGTCATATAGTTTGAATCCTGAGTTAGTGCCTCAATTTCCTGATCTATAAAATGAGGATAATAATACTTACCTCAGAAGATTGTTGTAAATATTAACTGAGATTACATATGGAAGCATCTGGTACAGTATTTGCATATGATAGGTGTTCCAAAAATGTTCTGAGTGAGGTGATATTGATAATTGATTCTATTTTATGCAGTGATTTCCTCAATTGAGGAATTCCTAAATCGAGGGGTTAAAATCAGGCATTTAGAAGAGCAAGATGTTATTTTCATTTGCCCTGGCGAATAGACTTTAAGCAATCAGCTAATATTGAAAAGTCCACACTTGCTGTTGGGTAATGCACAGTGGATCCCATGCAGAATTTCCAGGTGCCTTTCTTGAATAGCCCATGTTGTGCATGTTGTCCTATACCTCCTCCAGATTTAGGAAGTTGTCATCATTACGTATTCTAAATCCCATGGGAATTTAACATGACCAACCACTCCTCTGACCAAATGCCTTTATTAATTCACTTGAAATTGGAGAGCGCACTCACAAATGCTGCTAAGCAGCTATCTGTGCAGGGATGAGGAAAATATGAATGGTTGACTTGCTGTACATTCAGCTCCTTATAGCAGAGGTTCCATCCTGTAAGCACAAGGGGCCACATTAGAAATAGTAAAAGAAACACCAAAAATCCTTTCACAATGAAGCCACGGATTTTGGCCTTCAGGAAGACAGGGTAAGTCTCTGCTTCTTTGCATCCTCTCATAGGGAAGATTTGTTGATTTGAGTTATATGCTTATCTATAGTTAAGTGACCTCCTGTTTGTGTAACCCTGGGGAAACACTCCAGATATGTTTAGGCAGTTTATTTAATGTCCATAGGTAATCTTTTATGCTTCCAATCACTGTCATTCATTGCTTTCCAACTAAGCAATAAGACAGTAATTCACTGATGTGACTGCTCTCTGAAGTGGCACAGTACATTTATTCCCTCAGAGAGGAAGGTGACCCTGAGCTGTAAAATGACTTTGCTTAGTTCCATAGCTAGCCATCCCAAGCTAAACTACATTGGAGCTTATGCCAGGGAGCTTGTAACCTCTCAGTGGCCAACAATTGTGCTTGTTTCAGAGTGACTTTTGACTGAGAGTAGAAATCAGACTCTTTTGCCCTAAAATGCAATCAGGGAGGGATCCACCTTTGTTAGTAGGACTAGGGTTCCCAGCTTCCTCTTTAGGTGAGCATTCTATGAAGTGGTTATCTTATCTAATAACAGACAAACATGGTAATTGACCATACCTTCGCTAAGCCTCCCATTGGCTAATCAGCGAGATATGCAAATTAACCGCCAACAAAGATGGCGGCTAATTTGCATATGTAGGTGTGAAGCGGCGGAGCGAAGACTGAAGGCGGCTCCGGCCAGAGCAGCGAAGGCTTGAAGGCAACTCCGGCCAGAGCGAAGGCCTGGGTCCCGGGTGCCGGAGGAAAACCAGTGCCGGCAGCCAGGGGAAGGGAAGGCCTATTGCATGAATCTTTTCATGCAACAGGCCTCTAGTATATTATATTTATTATATATTATATTTTATATGTAGTGCTTAAAATGTGTTTATCTTTCATGTGGATATTTGGCAATTAAACATATAATGGCTTTTTATTGCATTTAAGAAATGATCTGTGATCCACATGTGGCATTTTCTCCTACAGGGATTTAGGTAAATCATATTTGAGTCAGTAAATTTTGCAGCATTTATATAGGCATTATGGTGTAAGATAGCAACCAGACTGAGATTTCTTTTTAATTAATGAGCTTTATTTTGGGGAGGGTTGTAGGTTACAGAAAAATTAAGCAGAAAGGACAGAGTTCCCATATATCCCCTTTCCCTTACTTTTCCCTATTATTAACATCTTGTATTAGTGTGCTAA